TAACATTATTCTAAACATTATTATTTTTTATGTAGACTTTTTAATTCCATGTGCAATATTTCAAATACATATGTAATGTTTTAATTTCATGTGCAATAATTACATTTCTTTTGCAATATTTCTTTTTTCAGATGCAGTTTTTCATTTGTTATTTGTAATATCTTAATTTCATGTGCAATATTTGATTATCATTAACAATATCCTATTTATATGTGCAATATTTTAATGTTGTGCAATATTTCATTAAGGTGCAGCATCAATCATTGCCAGTATTACTTCTTACTTTTCTATTCTAGTCTATATTTAGTATCGTCATGTATCCTATTACTTTTCTATACGGTGGTGCATTTTTTCTCATGATGTGTATTTTTTTATTTTTTTTCAATCAGGCACAACAATCCTTCTGGATTTAAAAAGTTCTATCGTATCTTATCTTACAGCAAAAGTGTATAACACAGAGACTAGTACACCCCTGTGGAACATCTTCATCGTCTAATGATTCAAAATTGCATCACCTCTCAATAACTGCACTATTTCTGTCTGCAGAATCAAATTAGCAGGAGTCATCAGGAGGTAAAGACTAAGCCACTAATCAGAGCCAGACACGACACTACTTGCACAATTTAGCTCCGAAAAACAGATGGCAGCTGCTTCAGAATTGGCAAAGAGGTGATTGTTAGAAATCAGACTTTGTGTGACAGCTCAGACAGTGTGAAGGACCGTTCATAATGTCAGCCTCTATTAACAAGGAGGAACAAATCATTGCTAGCTCTTCGGTGCAAAACTGCAAGAAATGAACTTGAAAGTTGGGCACACATTTTTGGGCCAAAGGTAAATTTGGGGTCCAACATGTTTGGCATGAACCCGACCAGGATGACCACAGTGAAGGCATAGTCCTGACAGTGAAGCATGGAGGTGGCAGCGTGATGATACGGGGCTGCATGAGTGCAAAAGGTGATGACGTCTGCAGATGCATCATGAAAGCATCTGGCTGAAAAGATGACTCCCAGTCTGCAGAAGTTTGGCAGAAGAGGAATATCTTAGCATGATNTGTTGCAGTTTTGGGAAGTTTTGGACAAGATAAGTGACTGAACTGGACTTTGCATCAAGTAAACTGCTTTCTGTGTGAATTTGCATGACTAAATGGTCATTTATTCGAACATTTTGTGCCTTATAAGCAATTAAACAGCACCGAATTTCAAATATTGCACAAAAAAAGCTCCAAATATGAGTTTTTTTAACATCTGTGAGCCAATCAGAGTTAATTTTTTTCGATGCATGTTAAATATGTATTTAAATTAAAAGACATGTTGCAGTTTTGGGAAGTTTGGGACAAGATAAGTGGCTGAAGTGCACTTTCTATGTGACTTTGCATGACTAAATGCTCATTTATTATGATGCTTTGTGCCCTAAAAGCAATCAAACAGCACTGAATTTCAAATATTGCACAAAACAATCTCAATACATGATGATTTCTACACCTGCACCTGTGTGTTCTATGCATGTTTACATGTCTAAATGCAAAAACTCATGCAAGTTGCATTTAAATTAGGAACGAGATGCTGCAGTTTTGGGAAGTTCTGGACAAGATAAGTGACTGAACTGGACTTTGCATCAAGTAAACTGCTTTCTATGTGATTTTGCATGACTAAATTGTCATTTATTCGAACGTTTTGTGCCTTAAAAGCAATTAAACAGCATTGAATTTCAAATATTGCACAAAAAAAAGCTCCAAATATGAGGACTTTTTACATCTGCGAGACAATCAGAATCCAGTTTTTTCTATGCATGTTAAATATGTATTTAAATTAAAAGACATGTTGCAGTTTTGGGAAGTTCTGGACAAGATAAGTGGCTGAAGTGCACTTTCTATGTGACTTTGCATGAATAAATGCTCATTTATTTTAACGCTTTGTGCCCTAAAAGCAATTAAACAGCACTGAATTTCAAATATTCCACAAAACAATGTCAATACATGATGATTTCTACACCTGCACCTGTGTGTTATATGCATGTTTACATGTCGAAATGCAAAAACTCATGCAAGATGCATTTAAATTAGAAACGAGATGCTGCAGTTTTGGTAAGTTCTGGACAAGATAAGTGACTGAACTGGAGTTTGCATCAAGTAAACTGCTTTCTGTGTGAATTTGCATGACTAAATGGTCATTTATTTAAACGCTTTGTGCCTTAAAAGCAGTTAAACAGCACCGAATTTCATATTTTGCACAAAAAAAAGCTCCAAATATGACGATGTCTACACCTTGCATGACTAAATGGTCATTTATTTTAACCATGTGTGTCCTAAAAGCAATTACACAGAAGTCAGTTTGAGATATTGTGCAAAAATAATAATAAAAAGCTGAATACATGCTGATTTCTACACCTGCCAGCTGATCACAGTGCACTCATCTTCTGTGGCTGAGCTTTCTATGGAGCAAACGTGTAACTAAACGCAGACATAAGTGAGCAGATTTTAATAATTAAGCGGTGATGTGAAGGAAAACTGCTGATTAATCCGGTGTGTGACTGACAAAGAGTGAGCAGCCGACCGGGCTCCGTGCAACCTTCAGCTTTCCTAAGTTGTCGAAGGCTAAAATTCAACTAAATGAACCTTGACAGAGCGGAAGTGGAGCTAAAAGCGAGCTAATAAATGTCAGTTGTAAGTGAGTAAATAAATCATAGCACTCACTGCAGAGAAAAATGGCTTCAACTCCGACCTGAGCGCTCCGTTATCACAGTTAGTGTGTTATCGATGCGCTCCGTTATGTAACTGACGGGATCAATGGGAGGCTGCGGACGCTCCGGTGCCTCCGTTACTCGCTCCGGCACCGTCCTCCGGCGACCGACGGCGGCTGTGAGCGCTCCGGGTCCGCCCGCAGACGCACAAAAGCACCGACACGCATCCACTTTTCCTCGCTCGTCGTGTAGCCAACAGCTGGTGACAACACAGCACCGTCCGCGGAGGAACGTCACCCCGACTCACCGACACACACACACACGCTTCGGAAAGGGGGTTGCGTTTCTCATCATGTTTACCCGCGATTGGTGTGTTTGAGTCACGTGGTCCGAGCCGGCTAATTATGGCTCAGCGCGATGGAATCACGTCCCCTTTACGTCATAGAGGGGGCGGGGTTTGCAGAAAGGAGCATGATTGACACTTATGGGCCACGTTGAAAAAATAAAAATAAAAATGTAGTTTTAGAAATTAAACATATAACAGCGTGACTTTTACTTTATCAACACTGTCTTTATTATATGTAATATTATTTTCTAATTTGTGCAAGCTCAGTTTCATAATGTTGT